AACTAATATAATATAACACATGTAAGTCATAAGTAACAAATATCATTCTAAAATATACAGTAATATATATTTTTTTTTTGTAAAAAAGTAAACTAAATTTAATATAGTTTTCTCATTAATTTTATAATTTAAGAATAATTTTTTAACAAGCACGGGTGTTGTACTAGTGTACATTATTTAAAAAAATTAAATTAGTAAAACATTGTTTTTATTAACGAGATCTCACTTAAATAACTAGTATTAATTAAGTTTCAATAAAATAAAAATTATATATATATTTAACTATTAAAATGATCAGATTTCATCATCATCTGTTGAACAAAATGAAGTAAGTAAGTTGACCCGTTATTAAAATATCTAATCATGTGATTAATGCCTAGTTCAATTTCTCACGCAATTTAGTATCTTATGCTAATCCTTAATAATAGAGAAAAATTAATTACTTATTAGGGTTTCTTTAAATTAACTTTATCATTAGTCAATTCCAAGACCAATCAGTGGCCAAAATGATCAATGGACCGGGTCAGAGCTTTGGCGTCCATGATAACTTAGTTCGCGCCATTAGAGAACTAATTCAAAGGGACTGGAATATCCGGATCATGCATGTTCATCGACAAGCTAATTACTCGACGGATCACGTAGCAGGACTCGCGGCTTCGGCACCGCTGGGCTTACAACGTTTTACATCCCCACCCCCAGGATTAGGAGTATGGTTGGATCATGACATTCGCGGGGTGTCGTACCCTCGTCGAGTTTTAGCACAGTTGTCTAGGCCCTAAGTCTCCTTCGTTGTACCAAAAAAAAATTAGTCAATTCCAAGAGTATCACAATTCGCTAATTAATGGCGACAGCTCTATTTATAATATTGCAATTAATTCAATTTTAGTTTGGGATTTTTAAATAAATAAATGTATTACAAAATATTTGACGTACGGTACTTTGAAGTTTCGCTATCTGATGTGATGGTGAATACAAGTTGATCAATTAGTATATATTTATATGTAATTATAAATTCTTGATGATTATTATGTATGAAACCAAGGAAAAAAATAGCTGCGCTGAAATGCTGAAGATATATAGCTTAATATAAGAACAAAGAAAAAAGATTAATAGTTTATTGGAAATCAAAACATTTGTCTTTTTACATTTCCTTTTCCATTGAGCTTATTATTATTATTATTATTATTATTATTATTATTATTATTATTAACAGGGGAAAGTTGACATGAGCCCATAGATGAAGTCTTTCAGATCGACCTACAACAATTATATATGCATCTATTTTATCGATAAATTGTAATTAAGTTAAACATTGTTGGAAAAGTCAATTATAAAACTTGAATTTGACCTGATTT